CTATCTATCTATTTATCTATCTATCTATCTATCTATCTATCTATCTATCTATCTATCTAATCTATCGGGTTTCTCGACCCACGTCGAGTGCGTGATGCTGCTGAAGTGACTTATTTCTCGTGAGTCACATAAACGTCCACTTCAGACAAATAGTGGGATTCGAGACATCGCTAGCCTTGCGATTAAACATTTAGGTTTGGCTTTGTTTGACCTGCAAACGCTGACAAATCCGTCTGAGGCATCATATCATCTTGGCATGAAAGTTTACTCAAGGGACGAACTGAGGGCTGTGCGAGGAGTTGATGGTCTATGTTTCACTTGTCATTTTCGAGGGCCTGCTCGTGTGTGTGTGCGCACACACACACTATTCAACTCGCCCTCGGTCGAGTACGCATGATCTCATAATCTCTTCTCTCTCTCCACGATGAAATTCGCGTGCTATCATCTGCACTCCTCCTTACTCCTCACACTCTTCTCGATAGTGGCTCTNGGCTCTTCGATTGATAGGACTATCTCCAGACTGGGATGATGAATGGCGCGTCTGGCGCCAGCGCTTTCAGTGTGAATGGTAGAGTCAAATCGGCTGGGTTATTTCTTTATTACTGCATGTGTGTGTATGTGTGTATACACGTATCGCACTGTATTCCGGTCACGGGGTTTGAGGATCGTCGAAATTTTATGGCACACTCAAAGTATGCAGCCCCGAGGTGTTGGGCTTCGGCGGAACGCGTGCGCGGTAGGTCTCATCATTCTGTGTGTGTGTGTGTTCGTGTTTGTGCACACACACACACTCGAAGTCGCAAATGCGCTTCCGGTTCATAACGCGGTAGGTAGTAGTTATCACGCACCTCGTTTTAATCGTGCTGGTTTATGCACGCACGCACATACTTGTTTGTTTGTTTGTTTGTTTGTTTGTGTGTATCGCATCATTGGGCCTCACACAAGGTATACTGTTAAATGAAAATGTTTACGCATTAAATTTGATCAGCAAACTTGAACGTACATCATTCAGTCAGGATTCAGTGTTGCATCTCGATTTCCGTTCATGTCTCCGTCTAGCTTTGTGCACTTTGTGCCTGTTAACTAAACTTGCTTTTTGTACACCCTCGCTTGATTGACTCCACTGTACAGGCTGGAATTCTTGTCCTCGTGCAATCGGCCTCCGTATTTCTACTATTTCCCGTGCTTCTCCAATTCGACGGACTGCGTCGATCGCAAAGACGTTTAGACATTCTGTGCTGCCTTCGACATCCGGCTGCTCTGGATGCTACGACCACCTCACTACTCCGCCCGATCAATCATCCAGTTTACACTTCATCCACCTCGGCATCACATGTTCGTCTCCGGCGCCACGTTGATCGTCGTTCGACCCGCAATCCGTCCGCAACCGTGACCTCCGCTCCGTTTACGTGCTCAATCGGACC